CACGGTGGAGCGCAGCGGCACGCCCGACGCGGCCATCTCGGCCGCCGACGTGAAGCTGGAGGCGAGCTACAGCCTGCCTTACGTGGCTCATGCCTGCATGGAGGTGCTGAACTGCACGGTCGACTTCCAGCCCGGCGTGAGCTGCGAGGTGTGGGCGCCGACGCAGTCGGCCAAATCGGCGCTGACGCTGGTCATGTCGCTCACCGGCATGACGGCGGCGCAGGTCACGATCCACGTGACGGCGCTCGGCGGCGGGCTCGGTCGCAAGGCGGAACTCGACTTCATCTCCCAGGCCGTGCAGGTCGCCATGGCGGTGAAGAAGCCGGTCAAGCTGATGTGGCCCCGCGAGGAAGATTTCACCCACGACCAGTACCGCCCGATGGCGCTGGTGCGGGTGCGCGCCGGCCTGAACAAGTCCGGCCAGGTGCTGGGGTGGACATACCGCAATGTGTCGCCGTCGATCCTCGGCCAGCGCGGCGCGACGCTGCCCGCCACAGGGGACAGCCAGGGCTACGAAGCCTCTCAGGCGCTGCCGTATGACTTCGGCTCCCGGCTGACGGAGTGGGTCAGCCACACCGCGGGCATTCCGGTGGGCTTCTGGCGCTCGGTGGGGGCGTCGATCAACACCTTCGCGGTGGAATCGATGATCGACGAGATGGCACTCGCCGCTGGGGCCGACCCGTACCAGTACCGCCGTTCGCGCCTGACCGACACCCGGTGGCTGGCCGTGCTGGATGCCGCCGCGCAGGCGGCCGGCTGGAGCAGCGCGCCGCCGAGCGGCCGGGCGCGCGGCATCGCCATCGGCACGGCCTTCAACAGCATCGTGGCGCAGGTGGTGGAGGTGAGCGCCACGACCACCGGACCGAAGGTGACCCGGGTGTGGCTCGCCATCGACTGCGGCTGGGTCGTGAATCCGAACTCGGTCGAGGCGCAGTTGATCGGCGGGGTGGTGCACGGCTTGAACGCGGCCCTCTACGGCAAGCAGACCTTCGTCAACGGGGCGGCACAGGCGAAGAACTTCAACACGAGCCGCATGATCCGCCTGAGCGAGAT